TGTCTTCATAATCAAGACCGTACCTCTGCTTGAAACCCTTGGCAACCAGCCGTGCCTTGTAGCGCTCAATAGAACCATCTGCATGACGTTTGACCTTAAACACCCACTTGGAGTCAATGATGTTGACGCCAGAGACCGGAGGAACAAGTTGCCAAGTACCATTTTTCAGTAAGGCCTGAAATTCCTGCTCCATCGCAGCACGCCAATGGGGAATACCCAATGCAGCCTGAAAATGACGCGGCTCTGTCGTGGGATCCGCAGCAGCATGAGCCACACATGCAGCCAGCCACGCCACCGTCCCGTCTCTGCGTTCCTTAGGGCAAAAAATACCAGACCGGCTGCGTGTGTGCGGTCGATGATGAACCACACCGGGCGGTGCTGGCACCACGGGGCTGGCCGCAGGCGACGAAGGCGTCGTGGCCGAGACAGGGCTGGAGGAGCCAGAGTCAGTAGACTCAGCCCCAGACGACGCTGCCGAGGCGGGGCTGGCCGGCGCAGCTGCCGTGTCAGCTGGGCCCGACGAGGGCAACTCCTGTGCCCTGACAGGCGAGCCAGGCAAGCCGGGTGCTGGACCGGGTGACCCGATCGACGAGGCGGGCGACCCGGGTGCAGAGGCGGGCGACCCAGGCGCAGGCGCGGGCGAGCCGAGCGACGGGGCTGGCGACCCGGGCGTGGAGATGGGCGACCCGGCCAGCGGAGCGGCCGAGGCGGGTGTAGCCGCGGGCACCGCCGACACCCGCGGGGCGGCAGTGGAAGCACCGGGCTGGCGGGTAGGACCCGCCATGCATGGGCCATGCACAGGATCATCGTGGCCATCATGAGTGTCGTCGAGAATCTCATCATCCAGGAGTTCAAGGCGAGCACCGCGTTCAGTACCTGCAGCATGGTTAGGAAGCAACACAGGAGCATTTGCAACATCCACAAATTGGTCAGGTGAAGGTGTAGCGGAGTGCACAGGTGGTAAACTAGTGGTAGATTGGTTTGGAAGAGCACGAAACGGGAACACATTCTCATCAAACACGACGTCACGAGAAATGTAGACACGATTGGTGGGAACATGAAGACACTTGTACCCTTTGTGAAGAGAACTGTACCCAAGGAAAACACACTTCTTAGACCGAAACTCTAATTTACGCTTGTTGTAAGGCCGCAAGTGTGGCCAACATGCGCATCCAAACACCTTGAGAAACGTGTAGTCTGGAATATCACCGAGCAAGAGTTCAAGAGGGGTTTTCATTTTCAGTAGTCGTGAGGGAAGCCTATTTATCAAGAAACAGGCGGTGGAGAAAGCATCACTCCAGAACCGAAACGGGACGGAGGCATGAGCTAGTAAAGTGAGGCCAGTCTCTACAAGATGACGATGCTTACGTTCAGCGGTGCCGTTTTGCTGGTGTGTATGAGGACAAGACACACGATGCGAAATCCCAAGCTTATTAAAAAACGAGTTGAGGTTGTGATATTCACCCCCCCAATCGGATTGAACATGAATAATCTTATGCTTGAGGAGACGCTCAACGTGTGCTTGGAACTGAATAAAAACATTAAACACATCAGATTTACGCTTGATAAGATATAGCCAAGTAAACTGACTGTAAGCATCAATGAAACTGACATAGTAATTGTGACCACTAACAGATGTTTGGGCATGACCCCACACATCAGAAAACACAAGCTCAAGAGGATGTTTCACAACACGACTAGACTCTGAAAAAGGTAGTTGGTGACTCTTGCCCTGCTGACAGGCACCACAAATAGTTTCAGCACTTTTATTGGACACAACTGGTAGTTCATGGCGATGCAGCACATGACTAACTATAGGAGCAGCAGAGTGTCCAAGGCGCGCATGCCAGTGCGTAGGTGACACACGAACACCACTGAACACCTGAGGAGAAGACGGCGTAGGGGATGCAGACAGCGCGTCAAGTGCATATAAGCCATGGCGAAGACGACCACTAAGCAGAATGGCCCTCGTGTCCCGATCCTTGATAAAGAAATGAAAAGGATGAAACTCAGCAAGGACATTATTATCACGAGTAAGTTGAGGAATAGACAACAAACTACGCGTAGCAGAGGGAACTCGAAGGACGTTAGAAAGATGCAGTTTGTGAAAATTGTGTGCAAGAAGTGATGCCTGACCAACATGGGAGATGCGCATACCTGCTCCATTGGCGGTGTGCACCTGATCATGTCCACGATACGGTTCCTAAACGGAGAGCTTGCCCATCTCGCTGGTGAGGTGATTCGTCGCTCCTGTATCCATATACCACGCCGGATCAAGAGAGTACGACTGGGTCCGCCCGTGGTCGTGTCCGGTCACCGCAGCTGCAGCCTGCTTATCATTCCCTTTGCCATTGTTGCCAAGGCCAAGGAAATCTTGCTTGTAGCGTCGGTGGCAGCGAGAGGCGAGGTGACGGTCTATGCCACAAAGCTGACAAGCCTGAGGAGCGCCGCAACTGGAACAGCAAGCAACTGGGCGACTCCCTCCTGTGATAGTCGGCGCATTGCCCCGTGAGGCCTGTGACGGGGAAGCCGGTGGTTTTCCACCTGATGGGGCCGGCTTCTGAGGTTTGCCACGTGTGGCGGCGTTGGCGGAGACGAAGCTGGGGGAGACACGGCGCGCCTTAATGCGCTGCTCACGCCCAAGGAGGCGCGCATAGAGCTCACGACACGGAAGAGTATCATCTCGACCATGGACGTTCTCAATGAGATTATCATAATCATCATCTAGCCCGTTGAGCACAAAGGTGGTGAAGTCCGCGTCCAAAAGTGGCTGACCAACAGAGGCCAGAGTGTCTGCGAGGCTCGTCATCTTGTTGAAGTACTCCGTGATGCTGAGATCGCCAAGTTTGGTCTCGCCTAGCTCGGTGCGTATAGAGTGCGCACGCGCCTAAGACTGGGAGGCGAAACTGGTGTGGAGGGCCGCCCACGCCTCCCTGGACGTAGCGGCGAAGATGACCATCGACGAAACACTCGGCGTGAGCGAAGACTGGATGGCTGAGAGAATAGCCTGATCCTGTGCCACCCACGTGTGATATGCCGGATGGTGAGGAGGTGGGCATGGGATGGACCCATCGACATAACCCTCCAAGTAACGACTGCGGAGGAGAGGCAGGACCTGCGCACGCCACGACAGGTAGTTGTCCCTCCCGAGCTTCACTGGTAGCAGGTGCGAGAAATAAAACGGCGATGGCGGTGAAGCACGATCCTGTGGCGGTGGCGCGTAGGGACCCATAGCCGGATCCATCTCGTGAGGTGGCGCGATGGCCAAGGGGGCTCCATAGCCAGGGGCACCAGCGTACGGGTCCCCTGGTGACGGAGGAGGCGCGGCCCCGTAGGGTAGCGAAGGCGGCGCCGCGTAGGGTTGGGGACGCGTCGGCGCCCTGTAGGGCTGCTGCGGCAGTACGCCGTAGGGAGCCATCGGCCAGGCGGCCGGCGACGGTGGCAGAGCACCCGGAGCAGGGGCGCCATACCACGAAGGGCCATAGGCCGGACCCGAGCCACCGTACGGGTGCGGGGCAGCATATGGCGACGCAGCGGCAGCGCCGTAGGTTGGTGCAGGGGCGGTACCGTACGCCGGCGGCTGGCCCTGGAAGGGCGGCGGCGCTGGTACGGCACCCGTAGAGGTCGAGGGCGACGGGCCACCAGAGGATGGCGGCGGAGGGAGGTCGCCGTGGGTGGCGCCCGATCCGATCAGGGACCCCGCGGGCGGCTGGGTGTTCCACCATGCCGAGACCGCGGCCAGGGGCTGAGAGGCCAGGAACGGCGACGAGGGCGCGACAGCAGGGGGCGGCGCATGGGGCGGCGCCGAGGCGGTGTCGGGAACGGGAGTAGAAGTCGGCGCGGCGGCGGCGGCGGCGGCGACGGAGGCAGCGGAAGATATCGTAACCCTAAACTGATACCATGTAAAACGTATGTTTTGGGAACTGCTCGACACCCTAAAACGGGGTGTGGCTATCTCATTATATAGAAGTACGAAGAGGTACAATACAAGGCATGTACAAGACTATGTATATACAGTCTAACAAACAGTGCTTGAAAAAGAAAAAGGAAGTGGAATCGAACCTGAACCATGAATCGACGCAAGCGACTAGCCAAAACCAATCGGATCCCAACTGTCCGATACTCTGATGCAAATCCTCTTTCACCGCCGCCGCTCGCTGGTGGAGCTCGTCGGAGCCCCCGCCGCCCCAACCCCCGGGGTGGGCTCGTGGGAGCTGCAGCCGAATGAAGGGATATTCGACCCGACCACCGGCGCCGGCGAGGAGCTCAGGGCACGCGCAGCTCTAGATCTGATGTGAGGGATTGATTGCCTTTCCCCTCGTCTCTCGTCGTCGGTGCTCCGGATCTGATCTGGAGATGACTGATGATTGTGTGCACACCCGATTCTCAACTGTAAAGCAAGCGTAGGACTACATGGGACCCCATGATTGTTTTCCTAGAAAAGTCATCATGCCGCATATCTTTCACAAGAAAATTCAAAATAAAACTAAAGATTCATCATCGACCTATCTGGATATTTCCCATGTGCTTTACTTACAAAGCCTTGGGCTACCCATTGCCTGACCAAATCATTTTTCCAGATTATATAGTCCTCTGGATACATACCCAAATATAGCATGCATGTCTTCAAATAATGAGGAAGATTTATGTAACTAAGGCTCAGTATTTGCCTCATTCCTTCCAATGTTGGATTCACCACAAAATTGGGGCCCAGAGAATTCATTACATGCACCCACTGTTCCTTCAATTTGTTTCGCTCACTAGCCAAAAGGATAGATATAGTCACAATTGTAAGAGGCAAGCCACCACATCTTTTTAAAATTTGAGCTGAAACTTCTTGCAGATACACAGGGCAAGCATGATCTGAACCAAACACTCTTTTGAAAAATAGCTTCCTTGAATCTTTGTTGCTTACTGACTTCATCTTATAAACATAGTCATGTTGATTGTAGCAGCAAGCTCTAGCCACAAAATTAATTCTGGTAGTTGTTATTATCATGCTACCGTACATATATATTTTCAGGAAGAGCACATCTAATAACATTCCACGTAGTTTCATCCCAAATGTCATCAATTACAATCAAGTACCTGCAAAATTATCTCATAAAAACTACAATAAGGACTAGGCAATAGTAAACTATGGGCAAAATGTAAAATATACATGAAAGCATACTCAGTCTCTGCAACTGCATGCCAAACAGCAAAAACATAAAAAAAAAACCTTTATCAGTGGAACATTGAAAATGCAAATGTACTTGTCCATGTAATGGAGTAATAGTGGTAAAAGTTGAATCTTCTGTCGCATTTCTGGAAACCAAGTTCATTTGAGGAAGTGTATCTTCAGAATAGATGAGAAATAAATTGTTGCATTCTAGCTTTTCAAACTAATTTTTAACTAGTTTCTCTAGTGACCCATGAGCATAACAGTTACAAGATCAAACAATACAAAGTTTTCGCAATACGCAAAGCTTGCTTATCATGGGTTACAGTCAATGCAAACAATACAAGATCAAACAATACAAGTAACTTTGGGTTACGGCCAATTCCGAACAGGAGTACCTCTTATCCATAAGGAATTGTCTGAGTGCACTGATCATTTCATCCTCTGCCCATATTTCCATGTTGGTTCCCTCCAGCGCTACATAGCCAACTTGAGAGAGCATTCTTCTCAGAATCATTCGTATGTTTGGTTTCTGGGACACGGAAACGAAAGCCTGACACTCGTACTGCCACTTTAGCCTGTGGTAAATCTGGTTCGCAAGTGTAGTCTTACCAAGCCCTCCAAATCCCTCTATAGAGAGGACCTTCCTCTGTTGTGCAGAAACACCCTCTTCACCCACCATCAGGTGTATTAATTCATCCCTCAGGCCATCGATACCCACAAGGCCCGATGTGTCCGCATAGAGTGCCAGCATGCGAATGTCTATGGTTGTATTGTTTGGCTTTGAGACAGCATCATCAATCTTGTACCTCATGCGTCGCTCGCTCACCTCCATGACACGGCTCTTGAGGCCTTGGAACTCCTTGCCGACCTTTTGCCGAGTGTTCATCGTCGTCAACAAGTTCATGCTCCTATGAATGAACCCCTTAAACCCATGTGGCTCGCCGTTGGACTCACCTTCCACCAGGAGCATGAACTCATCGACGCTGTCCTCGATGTCATAGGACAGATCACGCACCTCGTTTGCCCAGCACTTGGCTTGCTTGTTGGGCTCCTCCTCCGCCTCCGACATCCTCTCCAGGAATGCTCGCATACTCTCGAGCTCAGCTTTAAGGAACATTATCTCGCCTTTGGCCTGTTTCAGCAGCTTGTACTTGCCAGCGAGCAGATCACCAAGCTTCGCAATCACGAAGCCAATGGCGCCATGCGACACGCTCACCACTGCTGCCTCCATGGAACCGGCAACAGACCCAGTACTGAATTTTCCTTTCTCTTTTTTCTTCTCCATTTAGGAGGAAAGAACTTAAATCACTTTTTCAATTCTGAAGCTGCTAACCCACCACACCCAGACTGAATTTTCGTTTTCTGGTTGTAGCCCTTACTCAAGATGTGTGTCCGTTAATCGCATCTGCCATGTTGAATTGAAACCACTCAAAATCAGCCCTTTGAATCGACTTAATACATGGCAGCTGTGCTTGAAAAGGGAAGTAAAAGGAAAAGGAAGTGGAATCAAACCTTAGGAAAAACCAATCGGATCCCGACTGTCAGACGCAAACTTCGGTGGCTCGCCAAATCACCCATTCACCGTCGCCGGTCGCTAGATGGAGCCCCCGCCACCCTGGCCTCCGGGGTGGCCTCGTCGTCGCTGCAAGCCAATAAGGAAGATGCTAGACCGACCGCCGGCAAGGCGCTCAAGGCACGGGCAGCTCTAGATCTATCGTGGTCAGTAGTTCTTGTGCTCTAGATCTGGAGATGCTAGTGAGTGAGGGCTGAGGACCGAGGACGGTGTGCGCGTGGAATGCTTCTTGAATTGATAACAAGGGGATCGGACCCCATGGTCTTCAATGCTCTGGTTGGGCGCCATTACTTCTTCCTACTTTCTTGCCGAGCTCTCAAGGCCAGCACGATGCACTGTTCATCCGATTTTCTGTACGAGGTTAAATTCCTTGTTGTAGCAAGATCGGACAGTAGATATTCTAGCAAAACTGCTGAAACGGAGGCTGCCAAGGTTATCTGTAAATTAAAATTCGTCAAAATATTGCCACCATGGTTTTGTCACAAAAAGGATTGCATACTGTTGAAAATTCCACTCTCAATTGGAGGCATTCAAACACCGACTAAAACTGAATGAACACTCAAACAATGATAAAAAAATAGTCAGTTCATATATATTGGGGATAGAGCTACATATATTTAGCGACTAAAAATATTGGGAAGTGACTGACATTTGCTCTGCCATAGTGGAAGAAGAAGCACCGTCAGACCATGCCGCCTGGACAATGCGCTCTCCTAGGCGAGGAGGTTCAGCCAATAGGCGGTGTCGGGGCACGGCGGCATGGTCGGAGACGGCATGGTCGGAGTCGAAGAGGGGTATGGGGGCGCTAGAGCTGAGCTAGGGAGAAGAAGATAAATTGAACTGGCGATGCTCTATTTGGGAGAAGGCGAGCTAGGGTTTGTGCCCTCAGACGTGTCGCCGACTAACTTCTAGATCTACGAGTGGCATCAGAAATGGGGTGTGTGTGGCTGTAATCCAAGCGGGCGAGGCAAGAAGTTGTGTTGTGTGTGTTGGACACGTGATGTCCACCATTAATGGTTAGGGGAGGTTTTCGATGGTTTTTTCTACATGCGGGGCTATCACATGTGACAACCCATTAAACAATGAAACACATGGTTGCACTGAGAAGGAAGGATTTGAAAGTTCAGTGACGTGACATCAGTGGTTTTTATATTCTGCTGGAGTGAGTTTTTGCCCCTCCAACCTCTATATTAACGGTAACTGTGGAGAAAGGGAACGTATGACAACTCTGCAAAGGTTGCTCTAAGAAGTACTCCCTCAGTTCGGAATTACTTGTCGTAGAAATGGATGTATCTAGACATTTTTTAATTCTAGATACGTCCATTTCTGCGACAAGTAATTCAGAACGAAAGGAGTAGTGTTAAAGCATCTTCGATAGCTAGCCCAAAAGATGTTACTTAAGCTAGAAATAAATAATGGAGAAAAATGATTTAATGTCATGTCTGATTAAAGAGATCATTAATAAAGAATGGGTTTTTGAAATATGAGAATGGAAGGGGAAAGATAATTAATGAGGCCAATTTGAACTGACGATCCACATATCCTCCCATATATCAATTTCTCTCTCGTCCCATACTCTCCAAATAGCTCCCTTATTAAAAGTACGTAATCCCGTAGGATGCTCTGCCATGTGAATGAAGAGCACCTCTTCATTTTGCTTTCATAGTGTCTCCATTTGGGAAATATTTACTCCTCAAAAATCCTGCACATAGGCCCTCTGGGTTTGATTAAATTCTCCAACTTTTTTAGCATTACTAAATCAGTGCGAGGCTCTAAATCCCATTCCTCCTCTTTTCTTTAGAACACGAAGTTTCCACCGGGCAAATAAGTGCATTTTTCTTGGTTTCGTGGCAATGCACAGACACTATCTAATCACCCGAAAAAATGAATTAACGAAAATTTACCGAGTACGGGCCCATATCAGCCTAGACCAACCCTTTCTTTTCTGCCGGTACGCCGAGGTTAGAGCTTTCCAAATAGGCCATGCCAGCTAGACTGACCTGGTAGCATGCATGCACGACACATGTTAAACGGTGCGAGCTATACCTTTCTTCTAGTGAGGCAACCTTGCGAATCGCTGAATCTCCTTCCAGTCCCGGGAGCGTATGGGCCGGCCAAGTGCGCGGGAGGCCACTGCCTCTTTTCTTCTATTTTATTTTCATGTTTTTTTTTACTTTTGTTTATACCTGCAAAGATTCTAAATAAATATATTACAAAAAAAATTCAAAAACAAATGTTAATCAAGCATTTGAAATATGTTAAATGTACATGGAGAAAATATGTCTCATGCCTACAACAAATATATAAAAAGATATATAATATGTGTGTAAAAAGTTGATCATGTATTTACAAATATTAATACAAGCATTTGAAAAAAATTAAACAAATATCTAAAAAATGTTAATAAATCATTTAAAAATATATTAAATGTGTATAGAAAAATGTTGATCATGTATTTAAAATTGATAAATTTGTAATCAAAAAATGTTAATCAAACATTTAAAAAATGTTAAATGTGTATAGAAAAATGTTGATCATTCATTAAAAAAATATTAAACTTGTATTCAAAAAATGCTAATCAAGCATTTGAAAAACTATGAAATGTGTATAGAAACATGTTGACCATGTATTAAAAAATGTTAATCTAGTATTTCAAAAATGCTAAGCAAACATTTCAAAAGATGTCAAGTGTGTATAAAAAATGTTGACCATGTATTAAAAAATGTTAATCTAGTATTTCAAAAATGTTAATAAAACATTTCAAAAGATGTTAAATTTGTATAGAAAAAATGTTGACCATGTATTTAAAAAATGTTGAATTTGTATTGAAATTTATTTAATCAATGTTTTGAATTTTTTTGTAAATTATGTGTAGAAAAAATATCACCATGTTTTTAAACAGGTTAATATGATATTTGAAACATGTTAATCAAGAATTTGTATGAAATTTTTTAGTCCCTTAAAATTTATTTAATCAATGATTTGAATTTGTTAAACGTGCCCTTCTAGGCCGTGCCGTGCCAGGAACGATTGCCAGGCTGTGCAGTGGCGTGCCGACCCGTTTGGCCAGCTCTGTCCTGAGGTTGACAACTCCTTGATCGGTGAAACAGCTTCCCGCTGCCTCCTGCCAAACCCAAACCCTCACTTCTCAGAGAGAGAGAGAGAGAGGAACCAAACCCTTGCCGCCGTCGTCGGCGCTCTCGCTTCCTCCTCCGCTCCGCTTCCCCCGCTCCCACCGGCCTCGGATCAACGAGCTCGCTGTCCCATCGGAAAGCTCGCCGGCAATGGAGCAGCCGCCATCTTCTTCGACGACGCTGCCATCAGGAGACGGCAACCTCGAGGCCGGCCATAGCGTCTAGGGCTTGTAGGATAGACCTCGAGGCCACAAGGTACTAGTTTAGGTACGGCCGCACTGCATCCCTCCTGATTCGGAACTTTCCTCCGTCGTCGGGCATTGCTAATGCCAAATTTTGAACAGCAATAACGCTCTTGTTTTTACTGCTTCTCTCTCAGATTACTCGCATATGCATCCTTAGTTCGTCACTGTTCTTATTATCCCAGTAATCTGGCAAATCAGCTCACTATGTACTGTCCCGAAACTGTTGGAGCTGGACATCAACAATGCGCTGCACAAGTTTACCGACCCGGCAAATATGCACACTACACAACCCCCTTCATTTGTGATGAACTTTTAGGACATCATCAACCAACAAGTAAGCAGCCGAATAACTCAAACAACATGCACATGTGACACATGATTTGACATGGAAAATTCTCCTCAAGTTGAGGAATAAAAAACTACGGCTGTGGACCGACCGGTCCACACAACTTCACTATGAGAATGATGAGTACAGAGTCTTCTCTAAAATCTCTAGAGAGATTTACAACACACTCTCCACGTTGCCAACCGGCAACAACAACAACAGCCACAAGAGGTAAGATTTGAGCAAAGCAGAGTTTACACAACTTCTGTACCCTTCAGTGTTTTGCAAACTGCTCTTAAATCACTGAACCAAGCAGCACCAAATTTGGCAGACAAGTAGACACACGAGTTCCTGAGATCTCCTCCAAATTTCAGCTCAATCGAACATCGTTTGCCTACCCTAACTGTTCTTCTCCCAAAACTGCTCTGTTCTGAAACTGCAACAGTCAAGGCTGACAAAACCACTCTCAAATCTGATGCTCCACTGACCCAATCGTCAAACCAGCTATGGCAAGCCAGTATGTCGTATACGTCAATGCAGGTTCTTTTGCTGATGACCTGCGCACGTTCCCAAGCCACCACGAGGTTCTTGCCTTTGTGCGCGCCTTTGCGAGGAGTCATGCGTCACCCGGTGCATCAAGCTAAGCCCCTAGATGGTGCCTATGGTGGCGTCGCCCCTTAGTGGTCGCGGGGAGAGGGTGCCAGGATGCCGTGGAGTCCTATCGTCGTTTGCAACCGGCAATGCACTGTGTCCCCCGTGCCCAGGGACAAGAAACAAATTGCAGCCCAGATTAGCCTTAGAAGACACAGCTTCATGGTTTGACACCAAGTTTAGGCAAAAATTGGCACCTGCTAATGCACACAATTGTGAAGACGAGGGGCTGATAGTTATGGAGTCAAGGCAGGGTTGTTAAACGGCGGCGTTAGTGCAGGGCTCCCAGCGATGTTACATACA